CTGAAATCATGTTTCCATGTTCGGAGTCACTTGATAGCAAATCCGCTTCTAGTGAGAAAACAGAACAAATTTAGTTTTATTTAAGGTCTAAAATGCAGAAGATTGCTCAATTTAAGAATTGCATCTTGTACATTTAGGACAAGAAACTCATCCTCAGAGGAACACACTGTTACTGTGGCATAATTTCTCTAGGTAATATAGAGCAAACTCACAGGAGACAGAATAAGGAAATTACATGGAAAAACAAATGTGAGCTCCAGCGTTCCCTTTAGATTAGCGGGGAGAAGGTGTTTGAGACAACATTCCCATAAAGGAGTTGAAAATTAAAAGGTGATGTGACATGACAGCTCTTCTCTTGGCATTTTGTGAGCTATCTGAGGAGGCTCTCAACCTCACAACTGTGGATGTCTTCCCTTGCAAGAAGTGCTGCTCTGTCCATGTAGCTATGAGCTAGAACTTGGCATTACTGCATGCAGTGCTGACTGAGCCTGGTGAGTGCAGTTCACCTAAGCACCTGGCTTTGCTTCCAGGCAACAGTAAGTTTCCTAGAGGGAGAACTGGGGAGCCAGTACCCACATTTCCCTGAACTATGACTTTCCAGATTGTTCAAGGTGGCAGCACTTTTGCCAGCTGATCCCCAAGGACACCACAAAAACGCACATCAGTATTCAGAGGTTTTTGGCAAACAGCATCTTCTAGCCTTTCCTCGAAGGGATCATCCAGCTTATAACAGTCCTATGTTAACCTGGTTTTGGTCAAAAAGAGTAAAACCTTAATTTGTGTTTCAGGAAGCAGTTCACCCCTGTGTAGTCAGCAACAGTGCAGTCTCCTGCTTTTCATGCTACTTATGGTTAGGAAAAGCTTGTTACAACCTGAAAAGAAGATTTCAAAAAATGTTGCATCTTTCTTAAAGTGGCAGCTGTTACTTCAACACCAGTTTTTAAGCAAAAAATTGTGCCGAGTTTTACCCTTAAAGAGTCATTCCCAGCCCAGGGGAACATAGACTCAGCTACACCTCCTATTCAGGTCATCAGTAAAGGTAGGTGTGTGTTTGTACCAAGACACAGCAGAAGCAGTAGTATCCAGAAGACACATTCACTATTTCAACTACTTGCAACAGTCTACAAGCCATTATTTTAGCATGTGGAGCACATCTTAAGACTTTGTTCCTATGTCCAGCAGCACCAGTAGCCTGCTGTGTCCTTTTCACAGAAGCTGTAAAGCGTTCACAGTATACTGTGCCGTACACAACACAGTCTGAACACAAGACAGATTTCTGCATCAATCCTATAAAAGTTAACTGGTAACATTTGGAATGTCCTGCTACTGTATTCGAACCCCCATGATCTATTGTTCGTTTTGG